AGAGAGAGAGAGAGAGGGAGAGATGGGGAGGGGGATAAAGAAGAGAAAGAGAGGGGGGGAGAGGGGGGGGAACAAAAGCAGTGAAAGAAAGGAATGATGTTTCTCATACCAGCTTCTCAATGGTTGTAACAACATAACATTTGAAAAATATATTACCTAGTGAGGTATGGAAAATTATAATAGTAAACAACCAGGGACAAGCTACAATAATAATTTACCTGCTGATACGCATGTTGGAGTCAGGCAAGTTTCTTTATCTATGGAGAGAAAAAAAAGAAATCAAATTTCGACAACACAGTCTAGATTCTATGGTGAGTTTATGTTTCACTGATCATATACATTAGGTCGAGTAGATTTATACCGATTTGTATTATTCTTTTGACTTTTAAAAAATCGGTTCTGCAACTGGAAAGATCATTATCGTACTAGGGTGCCTGAAATGAAACAGACATTGGAAATGTGGTTTGCTTTTTTCTTTCCCGCCATGATTCCCTCCAAAAAAAAGTACATTCTATAGTGGACCTTTCTCGTCATCCATCTGTTTAAATCTGTTTAACTTTTCCAAGTTGTTTTATCTCTTCCGGCCAATAATAATATACAGAAGAATATCCGAAAAAGGTGGTAGAGTTAGTTAATTTCTAAACGTGTGTAACATCTCTATCTATATGTAAAATAACACCACCATAAAGTTCCTGTTGAGGTCGAATGTATGAAGTCCATGTTGTCTGTTTTCAATTGGTTGTAGATTGATAGTTCATCATTCAAAATTGTTCATAACGTCAAACTTATATGTTTACTCTCCCGTCCAGGACGAAGTTACCCTTCCCGTCCTTTATAATAATATACAGATGCTAGTTGCTATTTGAAAGTAAAAAGACACGATTCAGACGTTTTCTCCAAAGATTAAAACAGAAGCTCTGTCATGTAGGTCTATTCAATTTATGATAACTTTGTTTTCAAAAACAAAGAATTTGCTAAAGAAAAAGATAGAGTAACATCACTTTGTACTTTGAAGGGTTCGACCTGTGTCTAGCTGAATTTTTTTTTTTAGTTTCAATGCCGAAAAAAACACACACAAGGGGTATAAGTCTCACATCTATCAGCCAGTTCTTCTTGTGTGTCCTTAACGACCTCTTTGTCGTCGTCCCTGATCTTTATGATGACCACAGCCAGCACCACCACAGCGACGAGAGCAAGGAGCAGAACAACCAACAGCGCCTTCATCGCGCCAGACATCTTGTTCTTTTTCTTCTTCTCGCCCAGTCTGTGTTCAGACAGATAGCGGGGAGGGGGGGTGGCTTAGCAGCGTTGTGTTTGTGAATAGAGGTAAACACAAAGGCAAACAGAAACCAAGAAAACACACAGTCACCCACACAAGCACATACAAACAAGCACATACTCTCTCTTTCTTTCTTTCTCTCTCTCTCTCTCTCT